TGACCCTCACCTCCACAGGCACAATCTTCTCTTTTCTGGTCTTACCTCCCTTCTACAACAAATGCTCTTCCTAAACCTGCCCTTCACTTACAGCTTCGGCCACCAGTGTCCTCTTCAACAGCAGTGGCTCAGTACAGCTCCTCTCAGTGCCTTTTCCCAGCATCTCCAAACCTTTCCCACTGCCACTCACATGTGCACACCCTTCACTGCTGTGGTGCTTCCAGAATCTTTGTCCCCTCCTTCAGCCCCTTCCACAGGACAGTCCCTTCCGTGAAGACTGTCAACTCAACCTACCAAAGCATGAAATTAAACCAAGATCAACTTTGTGCCTTTAGGATCAGCCCATTAGCTGGCCATAGCTGTGTAATATCTTACCAGCATTTTTTGTTTAATTATTAAATGTGTTTTGGGATCCCTGAGGCAAGGCAAACAGTATGGGCTTTTCCCCCCATGTGGATCATACAGAATGCAACAGTTCTTTGGCTTTGAAGAAACCTTGTCCATGCAGACCAGAAAGCAGTGTAAGAGCACTCCTGGTACTGATTGTGCCTGGCACCAAGCAGCGTGACCTGCTTAGGGAACCTGTGGTTGATTTTAAATGCCCTGCAGTTTCCAGCATCAGGATGCATGCTAAAAATGTATAGAAATGGGCTGATGCCAGTTTGCTGGGTGAGAAAGGGAGAGCTGCTGTTTCAAGGATGTTGACCTCAGTGAGGTACAGCACAACTGAGGCAAGCCTTGAGAGGATTTCTGGACCAGCTTTAAGGTGATACCCCCCAAAAGAGAGCAGAAATAGCCTGGAAAGGAAAGCCTGCTGATCTAAATCATGGTAAGATGAATGACTGCATTGGAAAGGTGGGCTGCCAAACAAAGCACTCTGGCTGTCAAAAAAGTAACTCAGGTTGAACTTTCATATTTTATCCCCAAATGAAATGAAATGATTAATTTCTACTTTCAGAATGTAGACTCTGGTTCTGGGTTTTTTTCTTCCTCTTCAGATCTCAGCCAGTTTTAACCAAAACCACCTTCTATTACAACAAACAAACAATTCAAACTCAGGGCTGACTGCGGAAAGCTGTTGGTGAAAGTCAGATGTTCCCCGAGATGTTCTCCTGTGATTCCATTCACAAGTGCCTGGGGAGGATTTCCTGTTGATCCCTGTGCATGTCCCCAACTCCCCCCCTTGGGATGACAGTGGTGGGGCAAATAAAGCAGATTTTTGTGTTAAAAACCAGACACACAAAGCTCCAGTCTTTTCACAAGCTTCTTTCCAGTTCTTACCTTGTTACTATCAACCTGATGATGATACAACTATCATGGTGCATGAAATTGTTCTTCTAACCCTACTACATTTTTTGTTGAGATTCCCCACCAGCTCTTCAGCGTTACAGCCTCTGTTTGTGGAAATGCTTTTGAAGATGTGTACTGGAAACATTTGGACCTTTTAAAAATCTAAATCACATCAGCTTAAACCAACATTTTTTGTGTAGAATCATTTGTAAAATCGAATCAGGCACTAGTTGCTGTTCTGCCATTCTCTTCCTGCCACCCCAGCCTGTGCCCGCCTCTTGTGATGAGCAACCTGGAACCTGAGCCATCGGAAACAAGATTTCATACCCTGAATTTTTCAGATGAGCTACAAAGACAAAGGACTCCAAGTTTCACCCTTTGAAATCGCGTTTGGAAAATCAGAGCTAAGCCCAAAGCTCTTCTTTGGGTACGTTGCTGCTCAGAGTCAGGTCTGAAATCACGGCATTTTGGGAGAATGCCAATGGAAACTGGCACATCACATTTCCTTGGGGTTTCATCCTTGGGGTCGTCCAAGGCTTCTGAACCAACAAGGCGGTTCTAGCCCCACGTGTGTGACCAAGCGGTTGCCCATGTAATTCCACTGGCAGAAGGCTCCAGCAGAGATGTAACGCCTGGATCCGTAACTTCCTTAAGCCCCTGCTTAGCAGCGTGGTGGTTGCAAGACCTTGCAACGAAAGTGATAAGTGACAAATGTGCGGAGTCTTACAGTACTGATGCTTGTTATTGCTTCTCACAAAATGTTACCAAGCTTACAATAATCTTTACACTTTCAGCAAAAATGTGAACAGTATATTTGAATATATTAAAAAGAATTAAAAAAACATTTCACAGAAAACATTTGTTGCCATATGAAAGTCTTTCAGCAAGAAATGCCCACACCGGTATTTAAACATCGTTAAAAGTAGAATGATTTGTACTAATAAACTATGCAACAAGAGAGGTAAACAAAATAAAATTACAGTATAGCTCTCCACGTTCCTCCGCCGAGCACCCGCAGGCCTCGGGAGCTCCATTTTAGGTGACTAATTAAGAAACTGATATTTTCAGAGCAACAAAAATAAAAGCTTTTATTTGTTCATTTGAATATAAAACAGGCGTTATCACAGATGTACAAAGCGTACTGGTGGTTTAACATACAAGAAGGTTGCTGTCCTTTGCACATAAAAATTTTTGTTTGAAACTGTGATTGGCTGAGTTACATGAATTTCTCTAACCAGTCACCACACTCTATGAAATAACGCTGCTAACATTCAACTGATAAAAGGGACAGTCTTCCCTTGGGTAAAGTGTCAAGCAGGATTAAATATATATAATAAACAAGCACCATGAGGAATCTGCTCCTGTTTGATTAGTTTTGTGTTTAAATGTTCATTGTGTACCCTCTTTTTTTTGTGCATGTGCATCAAGTTGATTACATGGTTTTGTCTGACTCCAAAAGCACAAGGTCACAAGACAAACATTTTATACATTCTCATGAATGGTTTATCTACAGTACAGTTTCTAATACAGAACAATCCTTCTTTATTGCTCAGTCTGATGGTGCTTAAATGTTTCCTTCCTTTTGCTTGCACAACAAAACCAGAAACTCAGTTTATCCTTTCTCTTAACTCAGGATTTAACAACCATGGATGACAGGTTGCAGAAGAGAGCTGTTATTAACTGCGTTTCATGACTGCATTGCAGTTCTTTTATTCTCTACAAATGCAAAGTTGACTTCGTGAAGGTTAAAGTGATGCTTTGAACGACAGCAAGATTTGTTTTGCAGTACTGAGATCAGCGATAGCAGGACTTCACAAGTTAGTTCACACACTGCAATTATGTTTGTAATCAATCAACATCTTGTCTGAAACCTTACAACAACTTGCCATTAAGAACAGATTTTATTCTTTTTAGGGAGCAGAAAATGAAGTTGACAAAATAGAGGATTGGTCTGCAGAGCATGAATGGGGCTATTCACAGGACAGTGAAGGCAAAAAGGATGGTCTGAAAGAAAACGCGTCTGACGTGGCAAGATGCTCTGTACTGTACATGCAGACTAAAACGTCCCTACCTTTTAAACAGATTTTAAACACCCAGCATCGAGACTCCCTTATACGTGATATAAACATGATTACATTTGCCCTGCCACAATCTTAGTCATGCATATCCGGTAATGAGAGCCAGCACATGAACGTCATTTGGGACAATAAGAAAAGCATTCTTGGACTGCAGCTGGTAAATCCCACTCTTGATCACAAACAGGTCAATTCAGTTACAACCACATGAAGGAGGGGGTAGGATTTAGAAAACAGGGGCACGGGGTTCAGGGAGAACAACAGAACTGGGGAATCAAACCTCTCTTTTATCCAAATGTAGTAAAATGAAGGCAGCTGTGATGCATGTTTTCCTACTCTTCGCCCGCGACGGCCTCAGCCCAGAGACCGCGGGACTCCTCCGTTCTTTCAACAGGCAGATCGGTTCCTCTGATGTTTCAATGCGGTTAGGGACTAGTTAGCAGATGCACGGTGCGTGCCAATTTGCTTGTAGTGACTGTATGCTCCTCTCTGTTAAGGAATAAATTAAAGACCACCGAAACAATCGTTTCCTGTAAATGTAAACTGGATGCATTGGCCACCGAGCTACGTGTCCTAGCTGAGAGGCAAACTGATAACTCTGTGCAAATAACCCCAAAACGTTTCCTTATAGCAATAAAAACACCAACTAAAACAATGAAAAGAATTGTGCAACAAAGTTCTGCAGCTAGACAACAGTGCTATTCCTCACCCTGCCTCTCCTAAGTCTAACAAGTGTATGCACATGCCAGCACGAATATTTATTGTTGCCTCCATGGCAAAGAAAAGAAAATTATTGTAGTGCATTTTTAGTCTTAAATTCATTCACTGCCTTAAAGGCAGCAATAATTCCACTTGCTGGTATCTAGAGGATTCTTTTTGACAGGGATACTTAGCAATCCAGGATTGCTTTTTTCTTTTTTTCTTCCAAAAAAATTGTGAGTAACATTTGATTATCTACAGTGGGAGACACCATGCAAGTGACAAGTACTGCATTTTAAACTTTAAAATCTTTTGTCATTAGTGAATTTATATTTCATATATATATATTTGATGTGATACTATCCACTCAAGATAATACAACACTTTGTTTTTATATTAGCAAACATCTCAAGAGTTTAATATTCTTGAATGTTTTTTCTCTTTTATACTTCTAAAGAGATCAAAATAAATTAAACGTTTTGTACATAATTACAGAAGAAGTAGTTAACTTATTTTATCTTTTTAGTTTAGTACAAAGATATTTGCAAGTTCATTGCCGAAATACACCTTATTTATAAATTTCTTCCATTCTAATGCTAACAGCAAAGGCTCTTCGGCCTTTGGGCTTTCAGAATCTCCAACAGAAAGCTGCAAGGTTTCTAATTGAAAGGTGCTACTTTGGGTATTCTCCTCGTACCACTACATAGTTTCCTAAGATGTGGGATCTAAAATGGCTTAAGTTAGTAACAGATCTGTATTCATCAGCTCTTTATGACATATTAAAACAAATGAAGAAAACAATTACTTGTATTAGTATGCAAATTGTTTGAAAAGAATCCATTTGGAGGGCAGAATAAAAACCAAAAATCTACTTCAGCTTACTTAATGTAAAATACGAAGCCACATTTACTCAGAAAGCAGTATTGTCCAGTAAGCAAAAAAAAAAGTTTAAAATGGGCTTTTCCAACACACAGAAGGGCCTTACCCCAGAGTCCTTCTTTTCTAAAATTTAGTGGTAAAAGAAAACATTTCACATTTGATTTCCTGCCAATCGTGACTGCTTTGAAAAGTCGTAATAGGAACAGTTCCATTCTGATGAGTGTCAGCATCTTATCTGCACGCTTTTTTAGTGGACACCAAAAAATTTTATACATCTATAGCAAAGTCCTTGGAAGCTTTAAGGTACAAGACTACATGTTGTAGGCCACATAGATGGGATCTAGCTGGTCTGCCAAAAATCCATCTCGTAGGTGCATACGTTGTTTCTCTCCACGGGAGTTGATAGGAATTACACCAATGTCCACAACCACCACCACTCCTACAATCAGATAGTGTTCCTCCAGGACCACGTTGGTGACCAAAGGAACCAGGTCCAAAGCTTCTTGCTCTGATCCATCCAGCTCGACTACAACGACCAATAAATTTGTCCAGGTAAACACCGCACTGAAATGAAAAAACAAATAGTATTAGTGGTGTTTTTCTTTTTAACCCATTTTATTTTTCACCCTTTTCATTCCACCCTGGTTATTGTTTGTTTCAACTCCTAGGGCTCCTTCTGTATGCTCACCACAAAGCGCAGGTAGCAAGAGACAACACGTCTGCAGGCAGGGGCAGAACTGCTCCACTAACTCTCTAATATTGCCGCAACACCAAGTATTAGGCTAAACTTCACAGAAACTCGAGTCTAATCCTCGCCTGTCATGTTGGGAAGTAGTAAGACAACATGCTGTTCCCTCTGAAGCCAGAGAACTGTCACAGCACTGCTGTGCTCATGGAGGCATGCATGAGTGATGTGTGCGTGGAGGTGTCCTCTCTGGGGCTTTCTGAAGAGCAGCCCAGAAGAGCAAAGGAGGTTAAAAGAGGAGGCACCAAAAGGAACAGCAGGAACATAGTCCAAGCTGAAAGACCTTTGGGATAACCACTAAGCAAAGGGGTGTGGAGCCCTGGGAACATTTATGTGGCGTACTGCAGGCTGCACAGAGGTCCATGGCTGGCCAGGGAGGGAGGGGGCTTCCTCGCTATGTGCCTTCTGGACTGGGCTGGCTGCAGCCCAGGCAGGTCAGAGCTCAGCACAGAAGAGCTGTGATTCTTCTGGACCAACTGGTTTATGAAGAAAGAAGCGGTGTCTCCATCTGTTTTATTTCAGCTGTGTTTTATTTCTGTTGGGCTTAAGGGGACAGCAGTTCTTACATCCCTTATTAACAGGTGAGATGGTCAAGGGAACACCGTTCTTACCAGCGTCTCTCCTCTTCACTAAAAACACCTGTGAAAGACTCCAAAATCTTGGTTAAGCCCTTGAGCTGAAGCAGGTAAATTTTGGTTTCTGCTACTGGGCATCTTTTCTGGCTAAGGAAAAATGCATTTATCTTTCCAAATACTGGGAGGCTGGGATGGTATGAAAGTTGGTGTATGCTTCCCTCCATCCTCCTCCCCACTTACATATGTCTCCAAAGCCTCTGAAGTCTCACAGGTCAGCAGGACTGAGGCTCCACAAAGAGCAATCTCATTCTTCCTTGCACAGCTGATGCTTATTTCTTCTTCTAACTTATTCCATAGCATAAATAGTAACATTCTACACATGTAACTCATACATCAAGCCCTGTACTTTACCCTGCTTTACCTTATAAAATCAGGGGATAATTTCCCAGAACTCTCTTGAGTGTAAGCACCTGAAAGTTGGAATATATTATGTATATAAGCCAACTTCAAAAAGAGCTGCTTACCCTAAGGTCAACACTTGACTGAGACAGAAGTGCGCTGTTTTAGTGTACCAAGACAATTCTGAAAATCCCTGTACTTCGGTGACATATCTTACCTGGCCCGAAAGTTAGCTATGAAAATGTACTCTGTGTTGATGTTTAACAGAATGGATTTTAGGAGAAAAGTACCTAGTGTTAATAAAAAAGAAATCATTTTCAGATCCTGCCAATGAACAATTTGATTGAATTCTTATGTGCTTATTGATCTGGAAAACTACTGGGCAGCCAAAGCAAAGCTGTGCAGGCTCCTTTTGACTCGGCACTGCTATGAAATGAATTTTAAATTGGAATTATGTTTTCACAGGCATTCTAGAAAGTTTTGATTGATGTTGAGCATTAACAAAGTGAGGTATCAGTCTGCATAGGTGACCATGTCCAGAGCGGTCCTAGAATTTTTATGGATTGCTGCACAAACATCTAAATTAGTATTATATATATATGGCAACCAAAAAGTCTGGGAACGCTTTATTAAAATAGCATTTGAAACCATGCCTTAAGCCTACTGTTAGCTTGTTACACGGGAAAGCAATTAATGGCAAGATTCAGGAGCAGCTCCCTAAAACATGGCTTAGGAGAAGTTAGTTTTTCTGAGTTCAGAAGACCAATTCCCAAAACCTTCATGAAGCTTCCATTAAGTCCTAGAGCCATTGACATTCCTAAGAAGGTTTCAAATTAATTTAAAACTCGTTTCATATGTCATGATTGTAACTCACTGGTGACCGCTGCAAGTAGAAACAAATACTACCCTTTATGTTCCCACCACTTGAGATGAAGATATATTGGCCAGCATGTATCACACATGAATACATTAACTTTGTAGCTCATATGAGTAAGAAAACCCCCAAATCAAAAAACTAGGGACCCAGGAAGGCTGCACTTTCTCAAGAAATTACGGAGTCACACCCAGTAGTTGCAACACAGCCAATGCACAGTGGTCCCTCCTGCTGCTTCCACCACCAAATGCTTCAGGAAGAGCATGGAAACTGCCAAAACACCTCCAGAGAGAGGCCTATAATGGTTTTCTTCTCCAAATATCTTCTGTAGCTTTACCTATGTGTCATTATGCAGAGAGAGAAAACCACTTCTTAGCAAATTCCAGGAAGCTAAGTTCTCTCCTCTTTCACGGGTTTTAAGTTCAAATGAGTCAACCAAGTGCTTTAATTAAAACACATACACATACATTATTTCTCAAGGTACTCTGCAGTATTAAAAACACTTTCAAAAATGCATGGTGTAGTTATACCTCACAATAAAACCAGATGGTGCCACTCTTGCTTGTTATGTATCGAGACACAGGATGTCCAGAGTTAGAGGCTGTTGATTTTGTGCTAAAATTTCTTAAGAGACAAGAATAATTTTAAATGGCCTTTTAGATCTGATCCTCAATGACACAAGTTACACAGCAGGATCACACGTTAGTCAACAAGTCACCACTTTCCTCTGTACTGTTAAATGTTACAAAAAAAGCATGTGTTTCTTGGAAGCTGAGGCTGCTTTTACAATCTACAGATCAGACATACCTAGCACCTGCGTTTGAGATAGGTAATGATACAGTTAAATCCTTCATGGGCCATTGTAACCAAAACAACAGCAGCCAACAAGAACAGAGGCTCATGCCCCCGTCCAAAGAAAGGCATATACAAAGTATATATAAAAAGAAAGATTTAACTGGCTATTAAACAGGGGAGAGTTCAGACTTAAACATGGGAGATTTATGTTAGATATAAGGTAGAAATTCTTCACTGTGAGGGTGGTAGAACAGTGGCACAGGTTGCCTGAGGAAGTTGTGGCTGCCCCATGCCTGGCAGTGTTCAAGGTCAGGTTGGATGGGGCTTTAAGCAACCTGGTCTAGTGTGTGGTGTCCCTGCCCATGGCAGGGGGGTTGGAACTAGATGATCTTAAGGTCCTTTCCAACCCAAACCATTCTATGATGACCATTTCTGCAGTGATATGGCTACTTCATTCACTCCCCATGAGCTCACACTTTGAGGCCACACAAATCTCTGACAAAAAGGTAGTGCTGAACACATCAATTTATGAATCTGTGGCCATCTTATAATAGAGCTGTCCCTAAATAACTTGATCAGAAAACTTTTTATCCACTGCTGATACTGATCTGACACACTTTCAAGGAAAATTTCACAGCATCCTTGAAGCGTTCACACTGGTCCATATGAGGACACAGAATCCACCACCCTGTGTAATGGCTAGCTGGAAGAAGACCACACCAGCAGTAATGATGCTCTAGGGAGGAGGCAATGAGGCAAAACCTCAGTTACAGTCAGCAAAGCAATTAACTGCCTTAATTTAAACAGGTATTTCAGAAAAAAGCAAGGTGTTTGGACTATAGAAACCAGTCCGGTCGCTGTGCTTCATTCTTCATTATTAAGCTTACTGCTCCAGGCCACACCTTTGCAGCTAGGATTGAAAAGAGAAATGGAGAGTCATGTCTTATACTCACTAAATTGCTCTGGCTGTTGCGACAGGTTCATTTTAGTTGAAAGAAATAGAGCTGAGCTGAGGTAATATCAAAACAAACCAACCACCTGACTCAGTCTTCTGATGCAAAAATAATGAAAAGCAATTTGTTCTCATGTCGGCCGCAGGAAATGATTACCTGCTGTGTGCATTTGATGATGTGATACATTGATTAAGACAACATCATTACTAACTCATTGATTTACTGCTTCCATTTCCATTGTGACCTTGATTTGATCACCGCCTGATTTATTAATAACCAATTCAAAAGTAACAGTGTGTTCACTAATAAAGTTTATCAGTGTGTTCATTTATTTGAAATGTTTGCTTGCTTACTCCTTTTAATAACAGCACTCCTAAAGCTTGAACTCGTACCAGTTTGCTTTTCCTGGTTAGAATATAAAACTCAAAACTCCAAGAAACAGCCACTGACCTACCTGAGCTGTTTGGCTCTCTCAAATTGCAAGTCTAATCCTTCACTTGTATTTAAAACCACACACAAAAAACCAGAAACATCTTGAATGATCTTAGACCTTTCCCCTTAAAACTGTTTGTGAAAAGTTTAATCCTAAGGACGTATTTACACCAGGGTTATAAATCCCGTGACCATCCTGACAGTCCATTTCCTGGATCAATTGCAATATCCAAGACAAAAAAACCCCCTGACATTATAGATATAAGGGCCCTGGTGTTATATAATCCTTACCATTCTGTGATGCTCTTGTGTGCTCTAATTACAGAGGTTTCAATATCGATCGGATGGTATCTCATCCCTCGTAACTCCATGGCTTCATCTAATGCACCCACAACATAAAGTGCATCATGGCGCTCTGGTTGTAAGGAAAAAAGGTATTAATGATTCTATCTCCAGCAAATTAAATTATAAAAATGCTCATGTTAATAAATAAGTAAAGTAAGTATAACATTTATAAGTTATCCTCAAATTTCGGAAATCCCAAATGATTTCCAGACTAACGAGAATTTTCCATTACTGAAGTGCAATGCAGAGTAGAAAGCAGTAGAAAAGAAGGCAGAAACACTATTCCCACTTGGAGAAAGGTGGAAGTCTTTATCCAAACACTGGTATAAATTCCTGTTTCTCTCCCAGATGGATGCAGAACAGACTCATTCTGATTTAAGGCACCCCAACTAGACAGTAGGGTCCTTGTTTCTCTCTCTTTCTTGTGAAAGAGAAAGAATGGACTGAACCCTAACAGTATGGATGATGTTCTTCCAGTAGCTTCGAGACAGTCAGTACTGATGCTTAAGTTGTATTGCAAAGGTATTTATCAATAAACTAGGAATATGGACTACGTGCCAGATAACAAATAGCTTATTCAGACAAATGGCAATCTCAGGAGCATAATGCTTTTTGTACAAATTTTTATTGACTAAAGAAATAAAAGAAGCTGAAATGACACTTTTTAAAAACATATTAGGCTATAATAAATGACTGCATCTTATCCATATAGAAATAATATTCACTAATAGACTTAAAAGCAGATAACTGGCTCTCTTTACATTAATTTGGATAGTTGCATGATGGTAATGTAACGGCAATATAACTTCTACCAGTAATAAAAGGCAGAGAACTTTCTGCACTGGAAGCTGAAGCTGGGAGGAGAACAAAGGCTTAGCATTTCTTTGCCAGAAGACGATGTAAGCCATTTCGATGCTTAAGTTGCAATATCCTCCGAGAATCCTGGATTTTCTCAAGGCTGGACTATCATTATGAAATGAAAAAAGCCCACACAACCAAAAGTAAATCTCTTCAGGAAGATGCTAACATAAGGACACAGGCAGCAGTTGTAATCCACAGTGATTACTAGAAAGCTTTCAGATTTGATGAATTCAGTCTTTGGCTGAATAGCTGCTGTTCTAATTGCACTGACCCTGGGCCCTGGGGTCACTCCCTGAGATGCTCGCAGTGTTGCTAGAAACCATACTTTGCCAACAGCCTCGACTGGCACCACTCATGGCACTGAGCTCTGCAAAAATCACTGGAAACTAACATATTCCCAAGCACTTTGTGTGCCTGGTGGTGCTGGTTTGCTTACATGTGTACATAAGATAAGGAATGTCATAAACCCAAGGAGATCCTGTACCTTCCCAACAGAAACCCAAACACCCTGTAGCTTCTCCTGCAGGCTACTGTCTGCATTACATTTCAGTAACTATCCACACAAGTTTAAAGTCAGGGGAATCTGAGAAATGGACAGCTTCTGTAAATAAGTTTGTAACAGAGGAATTATCACAGGAGGTGGTTGTCACAGGAGGGACAGGGCTCCAACTCACAACACGGCTTTTCCTATCTGCACAAGTGTGTTCCTGCGGGTAGGACTTCAAGAGCAAATGATGGCATTTTAAGCTGCATTTCATATTTTTCAAGCTAAAGCACTTGGCACATTAACAGTGCCAAAAAGTCAGCGGTAGAGGGCATTTATAGCACCTGAGGTACAGCAAAGGAAAAGCAACTGTTTCAGCAGAGAAATCTTGCCCTCTTTTTTATTTTCTGATTATATATTAACTAAGACTTTTTTGCAGTTCTATGGGTTTCACAGATTGAACACACTGGGTAGAACAGGCCAAGAGACACAGTGTCAGCCTCAAAATAATCCAGATCATATGCACAGTCCTCGATGATGAGAAAACTCTTACCTCCATTTGCATCTGTGAGTTCTGTTCTCCTCAGGAATCCCAGATAGCCAGTTCGAGCCCAAATAGTCTGTGTGTCTCCAAAGCTGAGTCTTGAATTAAAATGATCTGACTGCAAAGATTCATCTCCATAGATGGTAAAATACCCACTGGCATTGTGAGTGCTGTGAACCCATATCTAAGTTCAAAGAAATTATATTGATACTAATTAAAGTAACTTTCCAGAATGAAGCATTATTGCAAATTCTTGATACGAATATTTTTAGTCATAGCTAGCTAATAGTAAAATGCCTTTTAACACTGTTTCTGAACTTGTAACTGACCCAGTTTTAGGCACAGAGACTCCAGTCTAACCTTGGAGTGTGGATCTGAGCCATCCCTGGGTGAGAGGGATGCTGTACTCATGACTCCAGGGACACCTGCTTTGCAGCCTTCTGGCCTCAGGTTAGCCAAAGACCTGAACAGCTCCTTGAGTAGCTCTGCTAGCTCTGCTGTCTGCTTGGTTATGACAATTTTCAGAAGATCCTGAAGACCACAGTTCTCTTTCCATAGTCCCCTCCTCCTGGTTCAGTGTGTTTACTCCAGCAGAAAGTAAATGCTCCATGAATACCAATCAGACAGATTATTTTAATGGGTGAGGCAAGGGACCTTCACCTATGGAGAAGGATTCATTTCACCTAACTCAAGGCATCATGGAAATTTTAATTTCATAAGTAATGAAATCTTACAGATGAATCTCACAGATTGTAGTTTTAATTATGACTAAGCAAATTCTTAATTTTGTTAATTAGATCTTTAATTGCTCATTGAAAATCACATTTCTTTCTCTCTCTAAAAACATAAAATAAATTGGAAAAACATATAGCCTTGCTCAACTCAGCTAACGAGAGTACTTGAGTGCGTTGAAGCACAATGATTATAAAGAGAATAGCACTAGAAACCCATCTAGCTAAAATTAGACTAATCAATAAACTTATTTTCTCATGTAAGTTTTCATCAGAATTAGTGAAGCACCAAGTAGAAGATACAGTCAGAAATGCAGATTTGTTTCAACTTTTTTAACAAACTTGAGCTATTATTAGTTTTTCTCAAGTATGTTACTAGCAATCTTAATGATACAAATATCATCCTACACACTTTATCTACTATAAAAATCCACAGAAGTCACGATTTCCTTACCCAGGCATTTGATAAGACATATTATAGGAAACCAATGGCATACACGACGAGCTTTATCTCTGTAATTTAGTTCAGAGCATACAAAGGTTCAGTTTTCACGACTCACCTCACCAAGATGAGAATCTCCTAAGGGTCCCTTTGTTTCTGGATTAGCAATAATTATACGTACGCCTGGGAGGATCTATTGGTAGAAAACATAAGGCATTAAGAAAGCAGATAGTGCCTTCTGCAATCATATGCTGACTCTTCATCCCCCAAAAAACGGAATTAGAGACTAGAAGAAATACTTCAGAAGTTAAAGTAGGCTTACACCATAAAAAATAAAATAGTCCACAGAGATAATAAATTCTGAGCTATCTGGAAATGCTACAAAACCGCTGTTCCATCATTAAAAACTCCTCAGAAATCAAATGTTCACCTACAATGCAAAATCCTATTAAATAACCCAAGTCTCTCTGAAAGTATATAGTAGAATAGAACAAAACAAAAAAGAGCACTAGCAACATGAACCTTTGGCCTGAAACAAAAAGAAAGCCAGAGGCACTATGCAGTCTCTCCAAAACGAGGCCCTGCCTATGACTCAATGCAAAGGACATTCAACCACTGCAGAGGTGGGCAGATGTCAAACCTGACCATGAGTCTTTGCAAAGCTATGGTCAGAAAGCTTTAGATGAGCATCCACAGTGTCAAGGGCAATGACACCGAGCAGTGAGTGCCTCGGTGGTGTGGTGCAGCAGTGACGGCACTTCTCCTTTCTCCCAAACAGAGTGTGCTTAGTAGTAGACCCTGGTTGCTGGCACATGGCCAGACACTACAGCCACGGACAGAGCTGAAAGCAGCACCCCTGTCTCCATGTGCTGGTCCTGTGTCCTCACCCTGTCCCCACAGTGATGCCACCTAGCAGGGATGTTCCCTTTGCAAATGATCAGTAGCCTATGAGTACAGCGTGGGTAATCTCAGACCAATTCTAAGTGGGGTGGGCCTACATCCATAAAACTGCCGTCACTAGTGGCACATTTATTGGCTGTTTCGAGAGTGAAACGTGGCAGATGAAACACCTTCTTTTTGCATGAAAGAAAGAAACACTTTATGGATAACAGAGGGAGGCAGAGCTTCTGAGAGAGCAGTAACGCATCAGTTACCACCATCGTGCTGCAACCTCAACAGTAAGGAAGGGTCTTCAATTTGCACAGCTGATAAAGCCTTCCTCAGCACACCCATGTAAAAACGGATGAAAAATGGGAAATTCACTGAAAATATTTACCATAATATAAATATTTAAAAGGTAAATATTTAAAAGTAAATATTACCATAAGAGGTACATTTAAACCTTCTTTTGGTACTTACTTTTCCTGACTCCATGAGGGGCAAACTATGTGGAGATCCTCTTTCGACTAAGCGAACTCTGTAAAATACATGTAAAGATAATATGCATAATACATGGTTGTGTTTATTTGCTTTTCATTAACATTTATTTCTAAAAGGAATGGTTAATGACTGCAGAGGTTAATGTTATTTTTGGAACAGATAAAGCTTATATCCTGTAGAACATAATCGGGCCCCATATTTAATCTTAGTCAAGACTTACGGCTGGGAAAATAATGAAAAGAAGATGTGTGTGAACATTTTCTTAAATATTACATTCTTCAAACATAGTTGGTGCCTTTTATTTGTTTTTGATAGACTTTTGTAAATGGAATTCCATGCACAAATTTACTCACAACAAGAGGGATCTAAAATATTAATTTCCCACAAGAACATCATAAATGCCAGGGCACAGACACAAAAGCATCTGAGCTGAGTGAGCAACCACATTCCACGAGTAGCTAGCAGATAAAATCAAAATCATATCGAAATACCTCATAACCTGGCCTCTGCATTTGCAATCGTTTAATTATTTTCAATGGACAGTGATAAACATTTTAATATTAAAAAAACCCAATTTAATGAAAAATGTTATTACTGCTGAGGTCAGAGCCTTTCTCTGAGTATGGCTTTCCAACCTCTTCCTTTCTTAGATAACCTATTTTCCCACTAAAGGCATAGAAATGGCACCTCTCCTTCAGTGGTATGATGGTCTGGAAGGAAATCCCTCATTTAACCTTGGAAAAGCACTCAACAGATTAGAATGAGAGACACCTTAAAGACCTAAAATAGCTGATGATCTCAGCCAGCAATTGCTGAAGAGAATTTGCTAACATCCAGGCA